TAAAAAAGATAGAAAAGTCCATATGTAATCTTTATATTGCTGCGGTTATGTTTTAACACTGGCGTGTTGGTCATTCTGATCATCTAAATCATGATACATTGGCTCTCGGTTCCTATACAGACAATAATGCTGTACGATGAACACAACATCGAAGAATATGGACAGCACACCCAGTCCAAACTTTGTGGGGTCTCCAAATATAAACATCCATTTATCTGTCAAGGAAACACACAAATTAAAACAAATGTTTGAGTGCATTCTAATGTCTTTAAAGCATTGGCGCATAGCAAAGTGTTTGTGCGGTCTCACCGTTGTTATAGGCCTGAAGGAACATTTGAAGTAAACTGAAACTGCCCCCTGTGAAGTCCAGCAGCACATTCCCGATGCTCCATCCCGCTGTGCTCTGCCTGCGGTAGTTCATATAAGCCTACAAAATAATCCAGAACTAATGAACAATGTAAAATATGCTGCACAATATATTTAAACCTGTTTTCAAAAAAAAAAAAAGATACAAAAAATAACATCTTTTTGGGAAGTGGAACCAAACGTAGTGAAAATGTCAAGAATATGTCAACAGACGGCGATCAAGTTGTAATTATTTTAAATTACTTTAAATGAAACGTAAATGAAAAATATACACACACATGCAGGTGGCCATAAGTTTGGAATAATCAAGTTTTTTTTTTATGTTTTAGAAAGAAGTAATTTATTTGGGGGGAAAATTTTAAAATTCAAAACCAGTAAAAACTGTAATATTGTGAAATATTATTACAATTCAAAATAACTGTTTTCTATTTGAATTTATTTTCCAATATAATTTATTCCTGTGATGGCAAAGCGTAATTTTCAGCTTCACCCTGATAATAATAAGAAATGTTTCTTGAGCAGCAAATCAGAATATTATGTGACACTGAAGACTGGAGTAATGATGCTGGAAATTCAGCTTTTTAATTAATTTAAATGAAAAAAATTTTTTATTTCTGCTTACTGGGTTTTTGATCAAACAAATGCAGCCTCGATGAGCATAAAAGACTTCTTTAAAAAACATTAAAAATCGTAATTATTCCAAACTTTTGGCCACCAGTCAATATTACAAACATGAATATATATATATATACATATATATATATAAAATGTTTCATTATTTTTCCTATGCACCATTAACAATTTCTAACATTTACCCCTAAAACATGTTACACAAATTATGTTACTCCAATATTCAATCACAAAACAAATCTAAGCTTCGGGACGCTTGGGTGCAGTTTCTTAGGACATTAGGAGGGTTACTTTTATCACGATTCATTTGAAACTCTTTTTCAATCTACAGTTACAAGCCACAACTATAACCAAGTGTACAAGACTGTTAAAAAG